TTTTTTTTTTTTGCTAGATTATCACATGTTTTCTCCTACTTTCCTTTACAACTTTTGACCTTCTATTCTTATTTCATGGCCTGACTGTACTCATATATTTTATATTATGCCTTCTCAAATAGATTTTTGAAATACTTTAAGAACCCACAGTATGTGCCATTCAGCACGTTTGTCTTTTCCCTTGGGTGTTTATTGTGTTGTAAGGTGTGGCTCAAATAAGGCACAGGATGGAAAATATGTTCACAAATCCTAATTTTGTGATAAAATTACAGACATGCTGAATTTAAGCAGACTGAGAGCATAGGAAAATATTATGAGAGTTTCTTCTTTAAATTATTTCTTATGATGCAGAGATTGCTTTGTGATACAGTCTGTGTCTCTCATGAAAAGATGCTCTTGTAGCACTCTAATCTAAAAATACAACTTGCCAGGAATTTAGCTCAGTGGTGTGCACCTGCCTCGCAAGTGCAAGATCCTGAGTTTGGTTCCCGGTACTACAAATAAATAAATAGAAATAAAAATACAACTTGGGTACACATCAGCCTAAAATGAACTCAATTAACTGGTATCTAGAAATAACTTTGCCAAAAGAAAAGACAAATCTAAGGAATTTAATATGCATTTGGAACTTATTACTTGTAAATAAGGTCTTAAGTAATTTATACTTACTTCATACATACAAGGAATGTTAATGAAAAATGTTTTCTTCTTGTTATGTATGCAGGTAATTGATTTTGGAGCTAAAATATCCACTGATATCTGTTTTAATATAATTTTAATTCTTTAAACATATACCAAATTGAAAGTTAAATATTATAGGTAGAAATTTGACTATTATATCTGTAAGTTTATATACATTTCTTTTTCTGTAAGTTTATATACACAAGGTAAAAGAAAATGCCTTTAATTTTAAAAATTAGTACCCACTGGGAAATGAAGGGTTACCTTGTATTCCAGCAGATAATATTGTAAAATCATGCAATATTGTAAAATTACTTTCTACTCACATTTAGAAGCAAGTACTATTAGTCTTAGAAATAAAAAAACAAGTTGCACATACTGACACTTTATTCTAGTGTTACATGGGGATTAATAAATTTATCTGTATTCCTGAGTGTATATATCCTGTAATGAGTGATAATTTGAATTATAAAAAAGAATTATTATCCCATCTCCTACCAACTGCCAGCCATTGGGATAGGTAATTTCCATATTTAAGTTCAATTAATTCTTATAATATCTCTTTGAGATAGGTCACATTTTTATTGCACAGATAACTAGAAATAAGACATTTTAAAACTTTATCAGAGATAAATACAAACAAGCCAGATTCCTTATTGTGTAACTAGTATGTTTCTGTTTTAAAACAAAAATCAAATATACATAGATAAAATGATTTAATGAAAATATAACAGATTGATAATGGTTATGTGACAATATGTATTTAAATTTTTAAAATTTTTCATGTATTTACAGTTTTAAAGTGATTAGTAGGAATTTTAATGATTTTGACAAGGTGATCACTGTTGAACATAAATTTACTTGTTAAAGATACTGAGTATATAGAAAATGGTAGCTCCAGAAATCATTTTCTGGAATCAAAGCTATATCTGTCCCTTTACTCCTAAAAATTATTTCTCAGAGAACTTATGAATTGTGTCTGTCACCATTTAATTTTATTGTTAAATTGAATACTTTGAAAAAGGATCAAAATTTTTCAATTTATAAATTAATTTGTTCATATTCTCTTAACCACTAAAAAATAAAAGATATAATTCCTTTCTATTTTTCAGTGCTGTTTCAACTTAATGAAAAAAAACTCTGAAAATTTCCATTTCAGTGGATGAAAGCAAAATAATCATCCCTGTTCTGCTTCATCCAAGCAAAACTGCACCTTTTAAAACTAACTAAAACATGAACAAACTGAATTATTGATTTGAATTTTAAAAACAAAAATGAACCTTTTGTCATACTTGAATATGATCTCAGAGAGAAATATTTTGAAACTCGATATTAAATATCCTAGGCTCAAAGTAACTAAATGTTTAATTCTTTCTGTGACCAAATGGTAACGTTAGCAAATTTTGGTTTTTCTTTTCCCCTATTATTTTTAGAATCAAATAAATAAAATATAGAATCCAAACTGATATATGAAACCTTCACAACAGAGATCCTTCCCAGATCTTCTGGCTCTAAATTCCTTGCTAATATCTCAGGGAGAGCACTGCCTCTTAAGACCTGGACCAAGTCACCTGGCCTCTGCAGAAATCCCATTTTGATGAGAGACCAAACCAGGTGCCATTCTAAGAACTTGAGCCAGCCCCTGCCCTGGGGCCTGGGATAATTGCATTCCTGCTTCTACTCCCCAATGCACCTTGAAGAATGGAAAGGAAATTTGTGCCAGGACCAAAAATCAATGATTCTGCTGCTCTTTAGGTATTGTCTTAAAAGCCTTTATAAAACATTTCTTTCGCTCTTGTTTCAAAAACCTACCAATATTTTTTAATACTAAAAGTTGCCTCTTCTGAAATTAAACAAAAAGAGAGCTCAAACACAATTTTATCTAAATATGATCAGGAATTTAAGGATGGAGCCCACTCTGCCTAGGGACCTTGGGTATGGTAGTTCTCTTTTATCACATATGTTTGAAAGTCTGATTATCTCCTTCCTCGGAATTTTCCAGAATCTTCTAAATCGCCTCCCTTAATAAGTTTTCATGTATAAAGTCAATTATTGGTCTACAGTATAATTTACAACTATTTCATATTTCTTTAATTTCAAAAAGAACCAATAATAATAATCATATGTGTGAACACTTGACAAATAATGTTCAATATGATTTATAAGTGTTTTGTGATTCACATATATGGAAGTATAGACATCTGCATTGATTATAAAGCAACTTCTTTTTGGAATCCAGTTGCCCTTTATAGTAGACTTGCTGAGTTGTTAAAAAAATAAATATACTCAGTGATGATCTGGGAAGCAGTTCATGCTCTGAATCCAAGAATGTGTCAGACTCAGTAAAGTTGATGGTAAATCACTTTTTCTCAAAATCACCTGTCAGTTTTTCACTTTTGGGATAAAAATGCAAAAGTTTACTTACCAGGAGTGGTTACAGTGAGCTTAGTCCCATCTGCAAATATCTTGATCCAGATTGCACTATCACACTATTCACAGTCTTCACAAATCTCAGCTTTCACCTCAGAGCCATGACATAATGAGCAGTTTAACAACTTTGTCCTGGTATCAGTCTTCTGAGTTCCTTCGAAAGTCCTTGAATATAGGATTTGTGGCATAATAGATTTTGTAAGTTTCCTCAGAAACTGACTCTATAATTATACATTTCCATTGAATTGTTGGAAAATACTGGGGAAAATTAAAATAGTAAAAGCAGGGGTAAAAATTGCTGATCCAACTGATCAACCACCTACTTTTCTAAGTTATCAGCCAACAACTCTGAGAAGGAAGTTGGATTTTTGTTTTGCTTTTATGTTTGTTTTTGTTTTTTTGTTTTTTTTTTAATTTCCAGGTGTTCAATTGTGTTGAAACTGCTCAGAGATTGCATGAAAGGAACGGGCTTCATATTCTGACAAACACCAGAACTTCTCCATTAGCAATTTGGAAACAAATTTCGGAAAAGAGGAAGCTCTTTAGTAACTGAAAAGGAAAATGTGCCAACACAGTTGAGAACTGTAAACCAAGGTTCTCCACTTTAAATAAAGCCACATTTACCACATGGCATGAAGATTCATTATCAGGAAAAAAACAAAGGAGGACTTTTTTTTTTCTGTGATGACTTCTTATTTTTCCTGAAACGACAGAATAACATTTAGAATTATATCTCCTATGAAATTAAAGATTCATTGTTTAAACTGTAATGTGAAAAAGAATTACAGGCATCTTGCAGTTAGTTCTGTGTTCTTATGTCACTCATCTCAGATTTAAGAACAGGAAATTTCCGGAATCATCCAGTCCTCCCAGAGTACAGATGAAGTGTCCAACTGTAAGGACCAAGGGGAACAATCCCTGATGACTGACATGTCCTCTCCAGGCCCACTATCCCAGCCAAAGTTTCAAAAGTAGACAGGGTCTCTGCCCCTAAGTGTGGAAAGAGGAATGGAGCCATAGTGGACTATGAATGGACATGGTGCAAGTCTCCTCTGAGACTCAAGGCAAACTCTTATCTCTAAACTCTATAACAATTTAAAACACAAGTTACCTTAGTCCAAG